CCATGTTTTTCTTAGATAATTGTTCAGTCTAACAAGAATGCTGCAAATGAGTCAAGCATTTTAATATCTGAAGTCTCTTCCTGTATTAAAAATTAGTACTAGGGAAAAAATGCAACATTCAGGGATAAATGATAAATTAAAATAGGCACATAAAAACTTAATAGTTTTCTTTGGTTTAAATTATAGTAATATAACTCAGGCAAATCAATTAACACTGTGATTTTGTAAAATTATTAAAATGTTTGGCCTTGGAAAGCAAGCAGGGAACATGGCCTAAAATGTGCAGTTTATCCAGAAAGTGCAGAAGTTAGAGAGACATAAAAGCACTACATCAGTGTTACCAATACATTTTGTAAATCTAATTATAGGTGCATCATCATAGAACAAAAATACAATACCCACACCCAACCTATAAAACCTTTTCACAGCTCTGATAACCGTTAGCCCTGGAAATGAAAATAGGAAAGAGAAAGTGCTACAGCTGCAGAACTGCCTGCAAAAATAAGCAGCTCTACAGGACTTAAAACCAAAAAATAATAGGAAAATAAGTGGATTTGTAAATAAGTTCACAGCATTTAATTAGAGATCTGAAGTAGAGACTACTAAGTCTGCAGCAGCCTTTCAAGGTACATGAAGTTTGCTTGGTGGGAAAGCCAAACCAGATTTTTAATAAATAGCATAACCTTGATTTCAAAGAACACTGGATTCAACCTTCTGCTTCTAGGCTTAAGTACAGATTTGGTATAATTTTAGATAATGTCTTTGGACTTAAGACTTCAGAAACAGAACCTTGTTTGAGGCATAACAATACAAATGACTGCTTTAACTTCAAAGCAGTGTTTAAAAGGTTTCAATAATAGAAATACTCAGCTAAAGCAAGAAAAGGATGAAACTCCAGTGACAGAAATATCACCATAAATCCTCCCTGCTTTGTGCAGTGTCATTTCCAATGTACTTCATACTGTACAGAGAAAGAATGCCAGTGTATCTATTATAGGATCACATGAACATGCATATTTATCATGAAGGCACAAAATCTCTTCTCAATTTCTATTTTAACAATGACAGAAAGCACACAGAATAAAGAATACTAAATTGCAATTCTTTATCCTTCATTAATAGTACAATATGATTTTAAAAAGAAATTTTAAATATGACATTTCGTTTTGAGTTGTGGTGCAGTTTTATCCAGTTTTAGCATTATTTAACTCTAAGAAATGGAGGAAATAATCTCTAATATTTTAATACATTTTAATAGAAGACAACAAGTACATCCTTGACAAGTCACTGAGGCAAAACCATGACCACAGAAAATAAAAACTAAAGCTGAATAACCTCTGACATGCTTACTTATTCTCTCCCAAAAGGAATGTCTAACTCCTGACTTACACATCCCACTCAGAAGTCTGTTACACAATTACTTTCCAAACCAGAACTTTTGCCTTTAGATCTCTTCACTATGGCATACTACACCCAACAGAGATAAAATGGACTTACCTGCTTCATGATTATGAACTTTATTTAAATAAGGTTCACCTATACAATAGTGATTACCCTCCTAAAGGGAAAATGGAAACACTTGGCTTGTAATCCCTGCTCAAATAAAAACACCAGAGCAACTGTCTTAAATATAGCTCATTCAGTAAAACCCCTTGGCTTTGGGAATCTGTATGTCAAGTCTTCCTGTAGTGACAAAAATTTCCTTGCTTTCATCACTTAAATGAGGTAGAAAACCTTTTTGAGTCCAGGAGCAACATCCTAGCATGAAGCTGGTGTGATGAAGAGTCAGGCTTTTGCTAGGCTGTGATGATGACACAACTGCTACAGACAAGGCTTCCCATAACAATTAGTTTCATGAACTGAGTTTAATACACCACACTACTTACCCAGCACTACACTGGGCTGTCTTTGACACAAACAATTGCATATGATGATGTTTTATAGCTCAGTAATTAACATCCATAAGCTTTACTATGAAAAAGTAACTCTTCTGAAGCAATGGCACAGTATCTTCAGATAGGTAGAAAATGTCACAATGCATTAATTTCTGCCAATATAGGTAGCTTTCATAAAATGATAAAAAACAACTGATAAAAGAGAATACTTAAAACAATACAGTAATGTTATCTAATGACAGAGGCTTACCTTGTCTCTGGGTGTAATCTGTGCCTTGGTAAGGAAGGATGGTATGGGAAACAACCCTAATTGACAACGTGATGCTTCCCTAAAGTCAATGGTGCTACATTGATCTACTCACCTTAAGTTCTCCCACAGCCTGTTTTAAGCAGCCCTAATATATTTTGGGTCATGAACACATAGAGCACTTCCAAAAGACAGTGACTTTGGAAATTGTCTGGACTACAGAGGGTGCTTTAATGAACAAGATGCTTTAAAAGAGAAGTATACACCTCTCTCCAGTTTCTGTGTTTTATTACATTTTTTTGCTCAAGATCTCCTTAGAGACTCACCCATACTTACCATTCTAGTTTTCTGACTATGGGAAGTTAATTTAAAAATGCAAAAAATTATTTTTCCTACCATGTACACCCAAACTTAAAATTCTAAATTCTAAATTCTGTCTGCATTTTCCTCAGCCTTGTATGAAGAGCTCAGGCAAGGATTCTGTAGTCTAGATGATGCTGTTCATTGCACCTTTAAAATCCTAATTAATTACTCCTCCCTTTACAGCCTATCAACTTAGTCCTTGCACAGATGGATTAACTCTGCATGAAGCAGAATGATTCACTATGTGTTCATAGAGAAGATGTAAACTGCGCATCACCAGTAAGATGCAACTAAGCTGACAAAAAAGATGCTATGGCCAGAAAAGTAATCCCTCTGAAAAAGGGTAATAACTACTGTATTATTCCATCTCCCCTCTCTGTTGAATTATCCTTAACTTGCATTCTTTGGTAGGACTTACCTACCTACCAGCATGGTGTTCCATATAAGCATTAACTGCAGAATCATAGAATGGTTCAGGTTGGAAGAAACACTAAAGAACATCAAGGTCCACCCCTCCTCCATGGGTAGGGACACCTTCCACTAGACCAGCTTGCTCAGAGTCCCATCCAACCTGGCCTTGAACACTGCCAAGGGTGGGACAACCACAACTTCTCTGGGCATCCTCTTCCAGTCTTTTATCACCCTCACAATAAAGAAACTCTTCCTAAGATCTAATCTAAACCTACTATCAATTTGAAGCCATTCCCACTAGTCCTGTCACTATATACTCTTGTAAAAAGTCTCCATCTTTCTTTTATGCTCCCTTCAGGTCTGAAAGGTTGCAATTAGGTCACTCTGAAGCCTTCTATTATCCAATCTCAACCATCCCAATTCTCTCAGGCTTTCCTCATCTCCTGATCCCTTCACCCCACTAATCATCTTGGTGTCCTCCTCTGGACTCACTCCAGCAGATCCATGTTGGAGACCCCAGAGCTGGATGCAGCCCTGCAGGTGGGATCTCAGCAGAGAGGAGCAGAGGGGCAGAATCCTCTCCCTCACCCTGCTGGCCTCGCTGCTTTGGAGGCAGCCCAGGACACGTTTGTCTCTCTGGGCTGTGAGTGCACATGGCTGGGTCATGTCCAGCCTCTCATCCAGCAGCACCCCCAGGCCCTTCTCCCCAAGGCTGCTCTCCATCTGTTCATCCCCCAGCGTGTGCTGATACTGGGGCTTGCCCATGTCCATGTCAAACAGAGTAGTGGATTTTTGCATTTTACAGACTCACAGAAGCAGCTGAGCTGGAAGGGATCCACAAGGACCAGTGAGTCCAACTCCCAGCCCTGCACAGCATCATCCCCAAGAGTCACACCATGTGCCCAAGTGAGTTGTCCAAATACTTTTTGAATTCATTTATTCACAGATCATGAATTTTCAGTCCATAGTGAATAGTATTAACCCAAAACTTTTTATCTTCACTTCCCAAGCTTTAATTTAGATTCCTGAGCATTTTTCTTGAGTGATTCTCCTAGATGTGAACAGCCATCACACATTTCTCCATCCTAAAAAATGGGGTAGAATATGGAAATGTAACCCCACAGTGCCCAGAGAGAGACTATAGCCCTGCTCTACACACTCCTTCATCCCTCCCCTCACAGTTTGAAACTTTTTGTTCTAACCATTCAATCCCAAGTCCAAGAGGGAAGATTTTAGCCAGATTTCATTCTTATACATGAATAAGCAGACTAAGTCAACTACTTCAGAAGGATCAAATACTTCTCTTGCAAGTGCAGCCTGCTCCAAAGGAAAGCTGGCCTGTCAAGGCAAACTCTGAATTTGCCTGTGTCCAAGATGCAAGGGTGAAGAACTGTGCTCATCACAAAAGCCTAAATAAGCAGGCAGGTGGAATGTTAAATACCAAAGAGTCAGGTAAAGGCAGAACTTTGAACCCTAAGACCTGAGAAAAATGAATTTACCTTTATGCTGCTCACTGGAAATAAATTAACCAGGTAGGAATTTATCCAAAAATTCATTAGGGAGGGCACTCTACCACTGTAGCAGAAGTAGTTGACTGCAATTCAGTGCTTCAGTTGGTGAGGAAAGAAACAGATTTCTCCATCTGCAGTTTTCCTCTAAAAAGGTAAAGCAATATCCTACAAATAGCACACCGAGAAACTTTCTCTAGAAAGTATGTGGATACCCACCAAGTGGAAATCATGGTAAATTAATCTTTATTTCATGGTATCTCACCATGCAAAAGAAGTCACAGATTTTTTCAGGAAGTTTTATCCTAGTTTCTAGATGCTGTAATCTCTACCACCATTTGATCTATTTCATCACCTGATACTATGAAAACTCACTCAGGATTTGGGCAGTATTGCACCTCCTGTGTTTATTTTGGTACAGTACCACAAAACACAAATTCTGAGTTTCTCAAGTGTTTACAACTGAAGCCACAAAGGAAGCAATGAAGCCAGAATCACTTCATGACCAACTGGAGCACTAATGGCTTGGATCTAACAATGCTCTATCACAGAAAAACTCAAAGGGATTTAATTTACCTTGACTTTGTAGTACTCTTTGACTTCAGGCTGAATGGAATCAAAATCACCACTGATGTAATCAGGTAAAAAGCTGAAAGGAAAGCAACGAGCAGTGAAATGAAAAATTAATCCATCTTACTATATTTAATATTTATTTTCTCAAGAGTACTATGGGCTACAAGCATTAATCTTCTTAAAGGAATATGTGTTCCTTAAAGGCATGTTTAAACAAGTTGATGTGAGGAGATACAGAAAACAGTAACAAACAAAATGTAAAACTGGTAAATCTACTGTCCCTTTGCTGAGGGAGCTGCACATTGCTTAGATGCTTATATATCTCTGCAGGTCAGTAAGACTCGTATTTGCCTGGTCCTAGAAAGACAACTTTCAAATATCTTTCAAATGATCATTTCAGTCAGCAAAGTGTTTGAAATAGCATATTTGAGTGCTGTACATTAAGCCTCAGAGGATATCATTTGTCAGAAGATGATGATGCTTCTTGGACAGCTGGTATGCCATAAATGTTTCAAGGATTTGTATTTTAGTTGTTAGTGATGTCATCTCATTTCTACTCTTCTCAATTATTAAAAATACACCCAAAATATGGAAGCCAAATGCTCAGTGATTTTTAACTCATATGAACTTAATTTCAACTCCTAACCATCCTTTGTACAGTAATATTGCTGCAAAGCACATGGAAATAATTTTGTGATATTTATCTTTTCTTGCCACATATAGCTTTTTAATTGCAGAGTGCTTAAAAATATTTATTGTATAAATTCATGTCAAATTCCTAATGAAACTTCCCCTTTGCTATAGAAAAAAGAACAGTGTAAGAATATCTTTTGTAAAAGTCCCCAATGCCCCCCCAAAACACTCAACACAGCTTTCCGTCTCACACAATTTCTTGAGATTTAAGAAGCAGCTGACAGGTGAGAGGGTGTTTCCACTGTTTCAACAGATAAGACTGCACTGAGTTCTGAAAGTAAAGCTGTGATTTTAGTTAACTCCATGGCTACCATACTTTACAGTTCATCAGCAAGGTAGTTTACAACATGAACTGAGTTACAAGGAATTGAGCAGAGTATATTGGGATGTATTTTTTCTGCCACATGATTTCAGAAAAATGCTGCAGGGTCTAGAAACTCCTCATATCAATAACACTTATAAAAATCTCATGTTCTGTGTCCATGCAGAGATTTCAAAAGAGACATGTAGTCACTGGCGACCATTTTGATTGAAAACTGAAATCTGCTCCAGTAGAAGCTGGTAAGTACAAGTGCTGTGAGTTAGGTCATGTGCAACTAAGGAATTTCAAATTCCCTGCTCTCCACCATTACTAAGGTTGTTATAAAAGGGTATGTTCTAAAAATAATCCCTTCAGAAGTGATGGTCCAACACTCACTTCAGTGAGAAGGGCAGTCCCTGCTGCACTGGGTTTGACTGAGGACACAGGAATCAATTAGGAGCAATGCCAATGCTTCAGTGCTCTGTTTCATACACGTCCATCAGTATGGTTCAAAACTAAACAGAAAATTAGGTTTGTCCTTCATTGTATAGACTGACCTTTCCAATGTACAAAACTTATCACATTTTCAAAAGTTAAAATTTAAATAGTTGTTTTTTACCTTTCCATGAATTCCCTAATTAAATATTTACTGAATAAAACAAGCCTAAAAACCTGCAGGTATTCTCTTTCAATTTGTTATTTTATAATTATTTCCTCCTGATTGAAACAGAGCCATTAAAAGTAAACTCACTCTAGGCCCTGAATGAAGCCCTGGAGGTGTTCCAGCAGGTTGGGCAGGGAGAACAGCAGCAATTGTCATGGAATGCCAGTTTGGTATGACATAGACATCCACTGTGATGAAAAAGCTGTTTATCTTACAGAAATGCTGTATATAAATCCTAAAACGTCTTTCTTTTCTTTTTTTTTTCCTCTCTACAGCAGCTACAAAATGCAGTGCTTTTAAATAATCAACTCTTTCTCCTGAATGTTTCAGGAGATGCAAATGGGGGAAGAATTAACAAAAAACAAAACAAAACAAAAACAAACAAACAAACAAACAAACAAAAAAAGTCTTCTTCTCATCCAAAGTAAAACAATTTTCAATCAAAAGCAAGTTTGAATTTTTCCAAGCAGAAGGAACAGGCATATACAGATGCACCTTCCATGGGGTCGGCTGGGGCTCCTGGCTGTGCTTCCTAAACACATCTCCTCTGCCAGGAAGCTCTATGTCCATTTTCAACATATCCTCTCTAAATCACTCACTTGGAGCAACCACAAAACCAGAAGCGACTAAAAAGAATAAAGAATAATGGCTGAGGACTTCAAAATTCCAAGATGTCTAAGCCTCCCATTAATGATCATGAAGAGAAGTCCTTCTTCTTTTCTCCTTCCCTTTTAGAAACATCAGAAACAAGGAAAGTTCAGAAAGTCATGCCTGATGAATTAAAAATAAATTAGTAAACCTCAACTCCACTGCCTCACAGACATGAAAAAACATGTCTGTTTTATCTTCAGAGGGAGGATGTCTGCTCTTTGTAGCTCATTGACTACGCAAACCAGCAAAAGTGTGGAAGAGGTTTTACAGCAACTTTTGTGAGACAGAGAGAAGTTTGATAAGAGGATTCATGTCTACCCCTGAAAGAATTCTCTATCAAGGTCATTGACATAGAAACCAAGAAAGAAGGATAAATAAGAGCAACCTGCAACTGCCTATTCCAATAAGCACTTTCCTTGTTTCTTGTGACCAATGAGTAAAGTGAAAACTTATGAGTTTTATAAGAATGTATAAAAAGCATGTATGCTATAATAAAAACAGATTTGAAGCCTTCTGAACATGGAGCGTGTTGCTTTGTATTGTCTCTGTCTCAACTATGACACAACTACGACACAAAAGTACGGCAACATTCAGTATAGAGTCAAAGGCTGCATTTGACACAGTCCTCTTTGGAACAATTCTGTGGAACAAACTGCTTGATCCAGGTAAGCAGATTTGAGTCAAGGCTCTTTTTAACCAACACAAGTGAACAAAGTTCATTGTGTGAAGAATTCTTCATTGATTAACCTCAGAGATTAGCTCTGATATAGAAATAGGGGAAATAGTTGAGAGAGAGGTATATGGGTAAAAACTTCATAATAAAGTAACTCGGGAATATTTCGTAATAATTGGGTTTCACTTGTTTGCTTTCATATAGTTTTGTATTTACTTCGGAGTAAAGACTCTGGTGCAGGCTTGGGAGAATCACACATCAAGCTTGCTTCTACTTCAGTGGAAGAAATTATGCCAGGAGAAAAGTAACAAGAAAAGCCTCTCCATAAAAGTTATAACAGCTGCCCTTATTTAAAGTACAGATTAAAACCAGGTATTATATTAGTCTAGCCCATGTTTTCCTGCCCTCTGAACTAAATTAATGAATAATTCTTATTCTGATGCATAACTGTATTGAAGATGATATATTTCAGTGACATATCTGACACACATCCTTTTGTGGAGGAGTTTAACTTTTTGCCCATGATGGCAAAATATGTCTTTAATTCCTAGAGCAATTTAAAATGTTAATTTCTAAACAATCCTGATGATGCAGTCTACTGCATTTCAGAATCATATTTTATCAGTCTCATTAGCTATTAATTATCATTATGCATATAAGGTCATGACCAGCTCAGCTGGCTTGATTTTTCTGCTGCTTTATATTGACATTTATCAGGAGTGAGCCAAATCCTTAATCTAAGGGATTGAAGGTATAAAATTCATGTGAGATCAGCCTAATCTACCAAGTCTTTTCTAGAGCTGTCAAGAAGCAAAATACCAGGCACTGGACAACAAAATCATCAGAGGTTTGGGCCCACTGGAGTTTTTCTTATTCTTTTCAATCTTTTGGTTTTTCTGGGAGTTGAGGGGTTTATTTTGTATTTTGTTTGGATTTAGGTGTGTGTTTTCTGTTGTTGTTTGGTCTTGCTTTTTTATTCCTCATCAGGGTATTTTAGAATCATACTGCATCCATCTAAAATGAGTATGGAGTCACAAGGGCCAGGGTTACTTTCAGATAAGGATTCAAAGGCACTTCCATACCAGACTGCTTATCTTTTATCTATTTTTTTTTTTACATAAACCCCCCATCATTTCCATATGAAACCCTTAAAAGTTTAGCTAGCTTAGGAAGGAAAAATTGCTATTTATCAGCAGTTTGGAGACCGATACCAGCTAGCTGATTTATACAAATTGCATAAAGGCTGAATGTTGACTGAACAGTTTTATAAACTCCCAGGACCCTGGCCTGGAATGGAAGGGGGGGAAAAAAAAGATCTTCCATCAAGTTTGACGGATAGTTTCCATTTACCCCAATAAATTTTGTCACCAGTACCATAAAGCAGCACTTGATTCTTATCATAGACAGATTACAAAATAAATAGAAGCTATTATACTCTGAGGTTCTGATGCTAAACAAGCACAACTGTGCCTTTTTCCTTCAAGGAATACATCTAATAGACACAGCAACACTGTTTTTAAATATTCAGCGCTAATGAACACTAACATTTAACACATTTAACACCAGTGTTAAATTTAAAACATCAGAATATTTGCTTCTTTATTTGCTCACTTTAAGAATTCAGTGTGAAATGTTAAATATGTGTTTTCACACAGTCATGAAAAGAGAAAAATAACCCCACAAAAACCCACACAAAACCATCATATTGTAGCAGTTTATGCTAAAAAACCTGCCTTCTGAAATAAAATCCTTGGACATAACTGCCCAGCTCTATCATTAATTCAAAGTTACAGTTTCCTAGTACTATTGACTTTTCTTGTGATGCAGCTCTTTTAGCACATAATTGCATGCAATTAACCTTTTTTAAACAAATGTTAACATCAGAGACATGAGCATTTAAAGGCAGTATCTGTACACCCTTTAATTCCTTCAGCTACAGCACAGAAAATAATCCCATGCAGAAAAACTGTGTGTACCCCAGCTGTATCATCTGAGGGCACAGAGTGGATTCCCTATGTTTTTTCTTCACTATTAGAAATAAATTTGAAAATGGGTGTCTTTTACCCTGGACTAATGAGCACACACAAGCTACAT